CACACACACACACACACACACACACAGAATAGGGATGTGGTCACTGGGTGTGCTGTTGGTTTGAATCATCAGAGAGTACAGCTCTCAGCTCCTTCCTCTGCACTAGACTGCAAATGAGAAGGAAATTGAAAAGCCAGTTGCTTGGTTGGTTGAGACTTCTCCTTTTGTCGTACACAGAGGGAAGGAGGTTCTTCAGAGTTGGTAGCTATATGAAGATGGTGAATTATCTCCATTTTAACTTATTTGGATATGCAAACAGGAACTCGCTAATGACTGGCTCTTTTGGGTTTCTGTTCTTCCTGACCTCTGTTAAAAGGCTGCTGTCGAGACTCTACTTCCTCCCTTTGCTTCTGTGACACGGCACTGCTTGCCTCTGTCGTCCTCTAGCTGCTGGCTCCGTTCAGAGCTTCTCTGCTTTTCTTTAAATGTCCTTCTGTTGTTTGTCCACTGGACACCTTATCTTCAGTCCTGGTTCAAGCACATAGCATGACGCTTGTCTGTTTGCCCATGATGTCTCACTAGTGTTTCTGTGTCTGTCCGGGATGCTCTTCTCATTCCTCAACCCCTTAATCTGGCTGGTTCTGCTCTTCCCATAAATATCAATGGCAGTTATCACCTCTGCTATGCATGGAAATGTGATTTTCAATACAATTTCTCTCTACCCCACTGTATCGTGTTCTTCCTATCTTCATATTTTCTAGCATATTAGATAGTGCTCTCGCCACATTGTGGCTATTCAGTTTACTGAATGTATTAATAAACTATGCATACTACTAGGTCATGAAAATTCTTCTCTGTATTGTTCTGTTCTTCTGGTCCATTCTGCATCCCACTGCTCACTCCCTCTGAAGAACAAGTATTAGTTCCTATCACTAAGTAATTACATGTGAAATCCTCTGAACATTCCTTAATCTGGCTCTACCTTATCAAACACTAGTATTTCAACCTAGATCATTAGAGAAGGAAAGCACATTAGCTTACTTGTTGTGATCAGGTCTCTTGACTGGTTCCTCAAGTTGCATGTAAATTTGAATGTCTTCCTGCCCATACATCAATGCCCATTTCTACACCCTTTCACAAATAATTCTTTTTTACAATTCTTTTAAAACAGGGAACTTCAGTAGAAAACATTTGAAAGAAAAAAAATCCTAGTATATACCTAAAAACAAATAGACTTTTTGTTTAACAGAGGGAAGGAGGTTCTTCAGAGTTAATCATATTCCCTTTACACACCCAAACTGCCTGAGTGTGGAAATATATGGTTCTATTACATATAATGTATATGCAAGTCCTGAAGCAAAATATGTAATAGACACCCATGAACTCTTTGCTCAAGTTAAAGGCTAGAACATTGTCAATGACAATGTATTTTTAAAGTTTATCTAGTTGCCAGGTTAAAGCATTTAACCAAAAACCTCAGATTTGGGTTCCTCTTGAAAAAGAAGACAGGGTAACTCTGGATCCATATTTTAGGAATGAAAAAAATCTAATTCATGGACCTGGCACACCCTTTGGTTTTCAGCCCTCTTGAATCATTGTGGTATTGGCTTGACCCCTGAGGTAACATCTGAATTAGGTTCCGTTCCTCAGAAAGACAAAAGAACAATGCTTCTCTGCTAGAGAGTTGGGGAAACCATCCCATCCAGGCGATGGGGGCCTGTAGCAGCTTGATGCAGGTGGGGAGGAAATAAAGAGCTGAGTAACTAAGAGGTTCAATATGAGATCAACTATAGGGAGACAGGGAGGACCTTGTGATGAGCATCTGGAAAGAGTGGGGCTTAGTTATAAGCTAGCACCAGCTCTCACTGATTTCCAAGTTGGCCTGTTCTACACCCTACTAGGAAAGCCTTTTTGCCCACCTTGAGGCAAAGCACTGTAGATAGAATTTCTATACTGAAAGTTAGCTGTGCAGCCTGCCACAAACTAAGCAACCTGAGATAGGAAGTTCACCACAGGGTGCAGCTCTACAAGTGGTGAGCCTCACCTGCTTGTTTAGTAGCTCAGAGAGTGGTGAGATGTCAGCAAGATCTGGACACAGCTTCCCCTCAAATCATATCTGTAGGACCCAGCTGGTACTTCTTTGTGGTTTCTTCCCAGTTGAAATAAATGCAGAATCCTCGATAACTAACCCCTTGCTGAGATTCTCATAGTACCCAGAAAACTCTCATCTAACATAGAAGACCTGGGAGCAGAGCCGAGGTCATTTGTCTCTGCAATTCATTAAATGGTCGTGCTTACATTTTGAGCAAAAATTGCATGATAAATTCAGTAATTACGATAACGTTAATTAACCCCCACGACAGGCAGAACAGTCAATGAAGGAACTCCAAGTAGTAATTTATATTAATCTCTTGCCTCTACTTTCCTCAACATTTAAGCTTTTTCATTTGGGAAGGGGGTGATTTTAGTCCAACTTTACAGATACTGGGAATGAATGGAGATCTGAGGTGTTCAGTGAGTTCCCCGTGTCACACAATAGGGAAGTCACAGAATGAAGCAAACCAATAGCCTTCTGACCCCCAACACAGGGTGTTTTCCTTTATACCATACTGCCTCTTGTGGTGGCAGCTCTCAATTTGTTAAACCTAATCCTTGTACTGCAGGTGTCAAAAGTTCACATCTGTCTGTAGAGTACATTTCAAACTCCTTGGCACATATTCAAGTATCCTCAAACTTACCTCACTCAAAAGTCAAGGTGCAGTGCACACCCCGGTATTACAGAATATATTATGAACTATATATTTTATAAGTGAGGAATTGGAACAGGCTGAATCCCTTCTGAAAGTTACATATATAGGAGACTACAGAATTAGGGTTCTACAAGACAGTTTCTGACCCTAGGACATTGTAATTTTTCTAATGACCTGAAGAAAAAAAAAATCAAAATCTTTCCAAATCTCACTTTTCCACATTGATGTCAACTAATTTTGTTTAGTACATTGGGTTGTGGGAGTTCTTAAAAGTTAAAAAACTTATTTTGTCTTTATGTGATATCTCTGAAAAAGAAATTTACTAATTATTTAAGAGTTTGCATATTTGGGCATTAATCCTGAAAGTCTTTAATTTGTGTTTAAGACCTTATTATTTTTTTCTGATTGAAAAAGAAATCATTTAGGTTTCCAATAGGACAATGTTTACCATGACATTTGTGTCACTGGCCAGCCTAAAGTGAAACCAGAAAGGTAAGGAACTAGGGGTAATAAAATTTGATTAGTCTCTCTGGGAGAATCCCCTTATGAAGAAAGAACCTGTTTATAATCCACGTATATTCTGAACTTGATATTTTCCAGAACTGAGGTAGCTTAGCATCAACATAAAAACTGCAATGCTGAATTCAGGTAAGCAGATTACATGTCCTCCCCTCCTGCCCTCAGCTCTGTGTAGACAGAGTCTCTGTTCTAGTTATCTCGGTGTCTTTTCTTCTTCCCTAAAATGGAGGTTGTCCCAGGGTGACTGTTCTCATTCTACTAAAGTCCTGCTTGGGGACACTGATGAAATATTATAAAGTTCTATTAAAAAAAAAAAAACTAATAATAACCAGGACATCACTTCTCTAGAACTGAGTGTCTCATTTGCCTTTGCTCAAAAAGCTCATACACTTCAAGAATAACTAATTAAAAGATATATGGTCCCCTACTTTAGAATGAAAGGTGGATTTATCACAGAAAGACAAATTATTTTAAAAAATTAAAAAGGTCACAGATTTTTATTCCTTTTTTTTTTTTTTAAAGTATTCAATATGGCTAAAATTCAGATGAAGAAAGCCTATAACTAGTTTTGGAGCAGGGCTTCTCTTTTATACCAAACTGTTTTAATATACTTGCCTTTGTTGCAATTTTGAAATGTGGGCAAAACAACACACCCCCACACACACATACACACATGCACATGCAAAGCATACATAAGGAAACTGTCT